GTGATATATATATATATGCATGTATGTACACTTTAACAGATTATTTATAACTTAGTTGTTACATGAAGTATAAAAATTTTCAACAAACATGAGAAAGTAAGCTTTAGGCTCATGTCACAATTTAAGAGCTAATGTTGTTGGGGTTTGATTGTGATTTGCTCCCTTTCTATGTTTATGTAAAATTCATTTAATTGCCCGTTTTAACATTAGTTCAAGGTAATATTATTTTCGCAATAAACAAGTTGCTCGTGAACTGGCTTGAATTTGTAAAGTTAAGCTCGTGCTCAAACTTGATTAATTAGTCTAGCTCGAGCTCAGGCAGAAAAGTGATCCGAGCTCGACTCAGAATCGTTTGCACCATTAGGCTCACACTGGAAATGATTTTTTTTTTTTTTTAACAGTCTAAGAGCTAATGCTGTTTCGGTTTGTTAATCATTTGCTCCATGTCTACACCTGACAATTTGATAAAAATGAAAAATATTGGTGAATTTTGATGTTTGAATGAGAATTTGAAAAATGAAAGGAGGGTGGTTGATTTGTAAATATGAAGTTTAGATGTAATTTTTCCGAAAAAAAATTTGCAGTCTAGAATCACAGTTGGCTTATTACATCGGAGTCAAATAGTAGCATTTGGGCTTTAAAAAAGGCTTGGAAGCTAAGCCATTGGCCCAAATAGCAACTTGGCCCAGTATTCCATCATCTCTATCAGAATATTAGTCATATTTATTGAGGCAGTTATTACCTGGACACTTTAATGCTTCCACTTAAGCAAGCTTTAACATGATAGAATCTTCTAAACTCATTAAAAGACTATTAATAAATCCTTTTAGCTCCCCCTAAACAATTTAGGAAGAAGACAACAACCATCTTAGGTAGAAAAAGAAAACAACTAGACACATGAAACAATGTTAAGAAATTAAATGAAACTTGACACCATGTCTATCATTTTCAAGCACTACGACACAATTAAAAAGCCATGACGTTTAACTATACAAGTCATCCTCATCAGCAGCTGCAGAGGTAGCGAATGGGTCAGCTCCTCCAGCCGCACCGGCCGGCGCCGTCTGAAAACCGGAACTCGCTGCCGAAACCTCTCGACTGCTGCAGGGTTTGGGCGAATGCCTGGTACTTGCGGATGTCGGCATCACTCACGCTCCGCCGAGCGTATTTCATGGACTCCTCAAAGTGGCCAGCTTTGATTTCTGCAACTTCATCTCCTTCGTCTTCCTCCATGGCTTCTGGATTTTCGTTACGACGCATCTCCTTCTCAATGTCCTGAGATTCAATAATGTTTAAAATAAACAAAAATGACTTCATGCATAGGAAACAAAAGGATGGTTATGTTTTTCACTCAAAGCTATCAAGCCTCAAGCCCAAAGTATACCAACTACATAAAATTTATTTTTAGCACAATTATAATTCCTAACTAATTAACTATGCTTATTAATCTGATGCAAGATCTAACCAATACTGCAACCTATAGAATTGATACAACAATCCCCATCAGAACCAAAGTTTAGCAAATATATCACTACTTAAACTTATTTCCAACCACTTGATAATTCCAAAACATCTTTCAAATGTTATATGCAGAACTAAACCAAAGTCTTGCATGTGGCTTCATTGCATGGAAAGCTTAACATTGCAGTATAGAAACAAATGAAGAGGTTTTAAGCAAACCTTCTCAATATTTTCTCGGATTGCGTACTTGCAGGCGCGCTGACAAATTTCTGTAATATCTGCGCCACTGAAGCCTTGGGTGTACTTAGCCAGAGCCCCCAAATCAACCTCTTTTGAGATGGGGGATTTCCTGAGACAAGCTTTAAATATCTGATATCTGGAAGCCTCATCTGGTAGAGGAATGTAAATCAACTGGTCCAGGCGGCCTGGCCGGAGCAATGCAGGGTCAATGATGTCAGGCCTGTTTGTAGCGCCGATAATGAAGACGGTTTTCTTCGCAGACATTCCATCCATCTCTGTGAGAAGTTGATTGAGGACTCTATCAGCAGCACCTCCGGCATCACCAACACTGCTCCCTCTCTACATGAGCAAGGATGCATAAAATTATTAAATTGCTTACATACTGTACATGAAATGGTAACAAATAGTCCCCTGACTGCTTACATGAAGTAATTTTAGTCTTAGTGTTCATTAAAGTGCCAAATTAGTCCACATCCACTTAAAGTTGAAGCTAAAATAGTCCTCCATGGAAAACATTTTAACCCATAGTAAAAGAGTATGGGAAATAAATTAGCACTTTTAAGGAGTTAGGACTAAACTGACCAACTCCAAAGAGTTAGGAGACTATTTTGACACTTCTCCCAAGAAACAAATCTGAAGTGTACGAGATAGGAAACCTGAGTAGCAATTGAGTCAAGCTCATCAAAGAACAGAACACAAGGTGCAGACTGTCGAGCCTTATCAAAAATCTCGCGAACATTCGCCTCGCTCTCACCGAACCACATGGTGAGCAGCTCAGGACCCTTCACACTGATAAAGTTGGCTTGGCATTCATTGGCAATGGCCTTAGCAAGCAGAGTCTTACCACAGCCAGGAGGACCGTAGAACAACACCCCTTTTGAAGGAGACATTCCGAACTTCTCAAACTTCTCTGGATGTTCAACTGGATATTGGACAGTCTGTGAGAAACAAACCCAGAAGTCAATTAGTTTATCTTACATAGCTGACGCAAAGCTGAAGAGCTTATTCCTCCATAAGAATTAAGAGGCATTTACATGCATAGCACACAAGTCTTATGTATTCATAGCAATCAAATCTTTAATAAAACATAAAAAATAGCTCTATTACAACTTTTTAAGTGAAATAGACTGTTTCATGTGTAGGTTTAAATCACCAGACTGCTACGTATGCAAATATGAAAGTTAAGGTGTGAGATGTTTAAATGCATTAGAATTGAGTGCCACGTTTGTAAATTTCTCAAAAAGTTAAATACCTCTTGAAGTTCCCTCTTAACATTCTCAAGTCCACCAATATCATCCCAGCTGACATTGGGAACTTCAACAACCTGCCGAATGAAAATAATTAGAAATTCACCCCAATGAAGAACAGTAGACTATGAATTGATTAATTCTTCATAAAATAGAAAGCATGAGGCCTACCGTCTCACGGAGTGCAGATGGATTGCTTGTTCCCAGAGCTGTCTTGAAATGTTCATCTGTGACAGCCATTGAGTTGAGCACCTCAGCATCAATGGTTTCATCTTCCAAATCAATAACATCCATTTTCTCCCTAATGCATTGGAGAGCAGCTTCTGTACAGAGCGCAGCAAGGTCAGCCCCAACATAGCCATGGGTGTCTTTAGCAATTCTCTCCAGATCAACCTGCATTATATAAAGTGTTATTGACGAAAAAAAAAAAATCTAGATAACTAAATAGATGCGTTTATGGGAGGCCATTTACATCATCAGAAAGCTTCATATTCTTCGTGTGAATGCGGAGGACTTCAAGACGTCCAATTTCATCTGGCACACCAATATCAATTTCCCTGTCAAACCTACCAAACCTTCTAAGAGCTGAGTCAATACTGTTTGGCCTATTTGTTGCTCCAATTACAATTACATGCGCACGGGATTTGAGTCCATCCATCAACGTAAGAAGCTGTGAAACAATTCGCCTCTCAACTTCGCCGTGAGTTTTCTCGCGCTTTGGAGCAATTGAATCAATTTCATCAATAAAAATAATAGATGGTGCATTCTTCTCAGCTTCTTCAAAAGCCTTCCTGAGATTGCTTTCACTTTCTCCAGCTAACTTTGACATAATCTCAGGACCGTTAATGCAAAAGAAGAAGGCTCCAGTCTCATTTGCTACTGCTCTGGCTATCAAAGTCTTGCCAGAGCCTGGTGGTCCATAGAGTAAGATCCCTTTTGGTGGTTTAACACCAATTGATTTGAAAAGCTGAGGATGTCTGAGGGGAAGCTCTACCAATTCTCTAATCTGAGCCATCTGTTTTCTGACTCCACCCACATCATCATAGCCCACATCATCAAGTCTGTTTTCATCTTCCCTATTAACAGGCTCCCCCTCGCAGTAGATTTCGGTGTCGGGAGCCACAACACAATACTCAGCTGGGTCAGTTTCTATTATTTTAAACTCCACACTTCTCATACCACCTCGGACAAGAAAGAGATCTCCTTTCCTAACAGGGCGATAGGCCTCCATAAAATATGCTGCAATAAGACAGGAGATCGTTGATTTGGCAGCCAAATGCTTCATATCACACCAAAATTATCTACATTTTAACTTTTAAAATGTGAAATACACCTTTCCAAGCATAGGTAAGGTGATATTTATGTAAAAATTGAATTTTAAGGGTTAGATATGAAAATACATAAGATTGAGTAGGGCTGTCAATTTGGCTCGTTGTTCGTGACCCGCTTGTGTTCGGCTCGTTAAGCAGCTCGTGTTCGGCTCGTTAGGAACGAGCCGAACACGAACAAATTTTTAAGCTCGAAATGTAAACGAGT